GCTTTAATTAAGTAATCTTTGAATAATGGGAACGATTCTTCCAAAATTAACTGAACAGACGAGAGGCAGATCATTGTAAAAATCTTCCTGGGTTGTCAACAGAACCCAAAGCGCGGTTTTAATGGAGATTGTAAGCTGGAGAATAGCGCGTATGGTAATCGGCCTTTTTGGCGTTTTCGTTTCAACTGAGAAAGAGAAGAACCTCTAGAGGTATTTTAGAATATGTTTTCGAAAATTATGTATTCTCGGCGGCTTGCGAGAGAAAGTAGGTCGTTCAGTCCTCGACAATCAATAAAGGATCTTATGAACGCGAGGCTACAAGAGAATCAAACAGAGACTTTTAGATAGCGGTACGAGTGCGAGATTTTTTAGGAGTTTCAAATTTCATTCTGAAACTCATTAATAATTCGTCAAGTTAAGACAAAGAAAATCACAACTGTAAAGGAAGTTTGGATATCTAGTCTAAATTAACATAGATTTTGACGATTTTACTTCATCGTTCATCGAGACAGTGTTTCATTGGCCATCCAAACAACTCGAATTTCGTCAAAAATACTCCGCTGCGCGTCGTATTTTCAACTCACATCTCGGTGTTTGGGTATCTGGATGGAACACTGTCTCTCGTGTTTGATATACTTCACATCCAGTCACCTTCTCAGAACCCTGACTCTTTTCTGTTGCTGACCAGTTTTGTAAGAGACTATCGATAGGAGATTGGATGGAAATATGATTATCAAAATCGTACGTAGGCACTAGTTTTAAAAAGGGAAACTCTTTCTCAGTCTGGTACTCTTACTCCCGCCCTCCACCCGCGCTTCCTCCGCCATCCGAGCAAGATATCTGCTAACTTCTCGGGTAAAATGTGAACGTCCGGGTATGAGTAATATGAGACCAATACCTTGAGTGTTTCTGCTGGTTATTTGCAGCACCTCAAGGAAGAGCACTCTAACGTGCACTACTTCGTGACTGGAAATGGCAATTTTTACAGTCCGGTCCCGATGCATAGACATAGAGTCCAAACATCACTCAAGTAAGTCAAGAATATATGATCATAGTTTTCTCCTACGAGAAGATCCGGCACTTATGTCGTCAATTTTTCGTCTGTGTGCCTATTTATCTCGTCGTCTGTTTGGTCTGTCTGTTTATCTCAGCCCTATCTGTCTGCATGGCTGTTTGTCTGTCTGTCTGTCTGTCTATCTGTCTGTCTGTAAATCAATCTGTTTGTCTGTCTAGCCACCTGCCTGAGCTGTCTGTCTGTCTGTCTGTCTGTCTTTCTGAGCTGTCTGTCAGTCTGTCTGTCTGAGTGAGCTGTCCTTATGCCTGTCTTTATGCCTGTCTGTCTGGTCTTTCTGTTTGCTTGGTCTGCCTATCTCGCAGTCCTATCTTTCTGTTTGGTATGTCCGGCCTGTCTAGTTACTCTTTCTATCTAGATCTGTCTTATTCGTCTGTCGGTACAGTCTTTCTTTACTGTATGTCTTCTGGTGTGTTGTTTATCTGTCTGTCTAGTCTTTCTGTTTGTTTGGTCTCCCTGTTCAGCGTCAGCAGACAGCAGTGTGGCAGCTTTGTCTGTCTGTCTTTCTGTGATGTCTGTTTCATCTGTCTGCCTGGTCGATCTGTTTGGTCTGTCAATCTGTCTCTGTCTCTGTCAGCAACTTAATATTGATGACGCAACACCACGAACACCTCTGCTCTGTTTCGGATTGGTTGTTACTTGCGCGCGAGAATTCAAATTGAGGGTGCGTAACTCTCTCGAAGTAGCAGTAGGGGCTGATACAATTTTTTTTATAGAAATGGTTCCTTTAGAAAACTCACAAACTTTGTTCGTTTTGTCTTATTTTCAGATTTTTCAATGGCGAGAGTGGAGCGTTCACTCTGTTTGAAGCCACTCCCGAATCTCTGAAAATCTCTCAAATCAACGATAATGAAAAAGAAGTGTACAGCGCCGAGTTAAAACCAAGGACTATCCTTCGTTCACTGAGTGATAACGAAAACACGATACTCGATGAATTCTTTACTTCTCAGACTTAGATGTACGTTCGTTACTAGTAGAGATAGCTATATAAATGTATTAAATAGCTAGGTGACAATTGGCCAAACATTATGTAAATATTTCTTCACTATAATGGTATTAACATACCACAAAAATTCAAGAACATTCCTTCCCATCAGGGATAGAGTAGAACCTCACTACCTCAAACTACTTTTTCCCCCTTGAGTATACTTTTCAGTCATTTAATATCGGCTATTTCAAACCACCGTTTTCTCAAGCCATTCTTTTCGTTTTCCTTGAGGGTTCGAGATAGGAGAATTTATCTATACTTAGATTTTTTTATGTTAGGGGGAAGGGTGCTGGGAAGGGAGTAAACCAGCATTTTTGCGGAACGGATTGGGAGTATTCCACTTTTGTGTTCTGATCGACTAAACGTGAAATTTTGATCTCGATGAAACGTTAGTTTGTTATTGTTTGCTTTTCTGATCGGCTAATCCGTTTAAGCATCATAACAAGTTCTCAAAAGCGAAAGATGTAATAAGAAGAATG